AATAGAAATTTTTCTTTAAATAATTCAAAATTTTCCTTTGAGTATGTGTGTAAATTGTCAGAATATTATCTGAATATATTAACGGCAACTCTATCGTTAGAAATTTTAAGTTATTTGAAAAAAAACTTTTATTCATAAAAGTTTTAAAGATCTTTATATTGTCTTTCTGTGAAGAAAAAAGTTTTTACATTAACGTCTTTGCAAAAAAATTTTTTACTTATAGGGCACAAATTTTCTATTTTAATAATGACAACACGCGTGATTTAAATTAAATCAACTAAATCTACATAACTTTGAACTAATTTTAGCCAAATTATTTTTATTTATTTTCTTACACGATACAATTACAAATTGCAATAGCAGTAACTAATGTTGCGTATATTAATAAGAATAAGAAATGATAGAAAATTCGGATAATTTAATGTTTAAATCTGCGGTGTTCTAAGGAAAATACTCTTTTATTATTTTTGTTGACAGTACGGATTTAAAATTACAATATTGATCATCCAACTTTTATTCCCAAAAAATTATAGTAATGTATTATTGTTGTTATTATTAATTTTCCATTTAATAAGTATAAAAAAATTGCACTAGTAATTTCAACTGATATGCACATCATAATGATGCCTTTTTTTATTATAATGCACAAAAAAAACCATAAAAATCATGCAGGAGGATCGGTTACGATTTTGAATCTTCGAAATTCAAGAGTTTTTTTCGGCATCGGGGACCAACTTTTTCTTTCGTATCTTGATCTTAATAGTTCGACTTTTTCAATACAATTTTTATTCGCATTTGGAATAAAAGCACTTTTATCCGACCGTTTTTTGGACGCAATACTTCCAAAATAAAATTAAAACGATGTTTACGGTCACTACTTTCCATTTTTCGCTGGTTAAATCAAAATCTTTTCAAAAACAAATCAAGTTGTTACCTTGAGGAAATTGATTGCAAACTAATCAATATAATCGAAAATTCTATTCATTAGATAATGTAAATTGAAGGTAATATTGTTTTGTTTATAAACAAAACAATATTACCTTTAATTCATATTATCTTATCGGTTTCAGACACCTGATTGTCAACTACATAATGTTAGCTTTATTTATATTACCAAATTATTGACTTTCGACAGTTGATTAGATATCCACTCATGTAAAAAATTATTTTGTATTAGAAAATGATTGGCTACACCCAGGTGCGAATTTTCCGTCGGCCCATGGTTGGGCCAACTTTGCAAAAGTTGGGACAACTTCACCTGCCAAAGGGTGGGCCAACTAGCGAAATGATAACGGTTTACCACCCATTGGCATCGATGGTCGGCCCAACAACTCGTCCCAAGGTTGGTCCAACTCTAAAAGTGTATGTTGTACCAACTATAATTCTCTTAGGTTGGCCCGACAATTTGTCCCACAGTCGGACCAACTTAAATGTTTATGGCGTGCCAACTATAATTTTCAATGGTTGGTTTACTTTGTAATTAGCGGGTGGGCCGACTCAATTTGCCAGAGGTTGGAACAACTAGCGAAATGATAACGGTTTATCACCCATTGGCACCGATGGTAGGCCCGACAACTGATCCCAAAGTTGGTCCGACAACTTGTCCCAGAGTCGAACCAACTTTAAATGAGTATGTACCAAAAATATAAATAATTAAAAACATGAATTAATTATACAATTAGCACACTGGTAAGTTCTGAAGAATTTTACATATGTCCTTACTTATTAATATTAAACGCAATCTCCTAATACATTTTTGAAAATATCTAACGCTCGCTGGGATCGAACCCCTAACCTAACGCATCGCAGTCTTATACGCTAACCATTACGCTACACTTACATGGGATTATTTTTCAGAAATGTATTGGAAAGCTGACTGAAGAAAATAATAGCTTAGGTAGCATTAGAAGAATAAAGAAACAATAATGATGCGGCACGACATATATATTTTAATAAAAAATATATTTAACAAAATTGATAAACGTTATTAAAAAATGAAATATTTTAAAACTAATGAAATGAGGATTATTCTGAATTTATTAATTAAAAGCTTATAAAATTCTGCATTTAACATGCCTATTATATGAAGTACTTTGAATTAACGAATTGTTAACAAATAATTAATAAAAACAATTATTTATTAAAACGCATTGATCTAAAGTATTTCATATTCAACCTGTTGGATGCAAAATTTGATAAGCTTTCCATTGCTAAATTCAGAATTACTCTAACTTTATTTGTTCGTAAAATGTTTAATATTTTATTAAACATATTCAAAACTTGAATAATTTTTTTAAAATAAATATTTAAATATTATCTATTTTTTATTTTTCTATAGTAATTCTATAATTCTGCGCTTAAACAATTATTTTTAATAATTTTGAGAAAGTTCTTTTTGTATTTAATTATTAAAAAAATTCAATTAAAATGCGTCTAAAATCCAATTATTGTCAGAATTAAGAAAAAAAATCAAAGTTTCTTTTCAAATTCATGGTGTAATTTTGCTAGTTTATTTATAATGTTAAATAATTTATTTTACATATTAGTGATGATTTATAAAGATTTTGTATTTTGTTAAAAATTGGAGACTGTTACGTTCCGAACTAGGCGTGGTTTTTAAATAAAAATGAATTTTATTTACTTGAAGGTAGTAAGGCTGATTAATCAGGTTGGTAAAGCCTGATATTTATTTTTATGTAGGATCGTGGTCACTTGTCAAAACTACGGGTTTTGCGTTACAATAACAAGTCAAATATTCCCTTTTATAACATTTATTGATTAAATAATAATTATATAGTAATGATTAAACAATAATGATACAAGTTTACAATTCGTTTACTTACTTTTAGCAATGAAGTCGGATAAATCGATGATTATAGCTTAGTCGTTATAAATTGGTTTTGATTTGATTTGAAATAGTTCGTTTTGGTTGCACTTGTGTAACTTTAACGACTTAAATTGTTTTATAACTATTTAAAGAATTGAAATATTCTTTATTGTTATCTCTGGTCACTCGCACCTTTGACAGGAATGAATTTTATAGCAGGTGTAAGAGAAGCAACATATACTAAATTGACAAATTTAGAAAAAGAGATAATGCAAGATTTCTTCAGTATTTATAGTTATAAATACGACAGTTATTTCTATTAAATTATTGATTCTAAGTGTTAATTTGCTTCTCTTGCACCTATTGGCTATCAGGAAAGAACTATGTTCTAAGTGAAAAGTCAAATTAACTTGCACCTATTGGCTATCAGGAAAGAATACAATAATTAGGGCGAAAGTAAACTGAAGGGTCGCTCTACGATGTTAGAGATTGCACCGGAACTTTTGACAAGCTTTATGGAAAAAGCTCTTGTTTATATACTAGTCGATTATGCTAATTAGTGGGAGAAATGTCATATTATTGGGGAAGGGGTGATCTATAAATAGAATCACTTTCCTTATATGGTAATGATCTACATCGCATGTATGACATTGAATCTTCTTCTTTCTGAATTCTCTCTTTTATATGCTGACAATGGGTTTTTGAAGATCATATTACACTTGGATCTTCACAACCTTCACATTCTTCACGCGTATAAACAAACAAGCTCGAACTTGTTACACATTTTGCTTACATATATCCTATTTTTAGCTTTTCAACTTTCTGAACTTTCATGGTGAAAACGAATGTCATATCTCTTTTGAGATCGATTTCGTTTCCACACTCTATCTTATCAATATATACATAAATAAATACATTAAAATAAGCCATATAGTTTAAGTATTGTAAAATTATTATAGAATTATATAAAATGTCTTATTTTAATGATAAGAATAAGAAAAATTAGGGAAAATTGTTACCGGGATGTAACAGAGACCTAATTTTTTTATTATTCGAAATAAATTTAAATAATAATAAGGCGTTGTCCGCAGTGGCGAGACAGCCGGTGTGGCGAGACATTAGGATATTTCAAACAGCTGAACTGACTGTGCTGGCACTTCTGGTCTGAAAGTCAAGTTTTATTGTGCTTTAACTTTTCAATATGATGCTTACGTTTTTGATGTACGAAATATCGCTATACTGATAATAACAGTTTCAAGATATTTTAGAAGTTTTATTTCCCATCGGTATAAGTGATAATATATAAAAATTTCCGGAATTTTCTGAAGGGTTAAATGTTTTGAGTCTTTAGTATTTAAGTTTCCTTCAAAATTTCCAGAGCACTATGAATTATTGTTCGATGCATAGGATTGTACATCGTCATTACCGAAAAATGATGTTTCCGCATTGGCGAGACACTTGTTGTCGGCAGTGGCTTTTTAATATCTAATAATATTGTACATGTCCTAATGAATTTGATATAATTTTTGTACGTTTTGTCGACAATATTTTTCATAACTATAGTTTAAATTGAAAAAGATGAACAGGAAGAAAAGCTTATTTGTTTTTAATAACTGTGACATGGATTAGCGGCTCACAATCAGAAAAATATTTGCCTGTATTTTTATGATTGAATGAAATAATATTATGATTTAAAGGCATCAATTATTATACTCTTTCTCTTTGATTCCTTTGTTTTTGTTACGTTTGAACGATAAAGACTCTGATTTTAATATAGTGTCTCGCCACTACGGACGATTTTTTATGTCGGTAGTTGCGAGACATTATCGTAAATCGGCAATAACTTTTTTTTCCAATATCTGTTCTGTAACTGTATAAGTTAAATTTGCAGTATAGAGTCACACCTGTCCATGGATATATATATACAGACTTGATGTTCTTGAAAATGTGAGTGCTATAACAAAAAAACAAAACGTATCTCGCCACTACCGACTCTCCCTTAATAAATAAAAAGAAAAGAATGCAAAAAATTCTAAGAGAAATTGGTACATCATTAAAAAAATTTAGTAATATTATTACATAATAAAATTTATTATTTTTATCGTTTCTATATTAATCATTACACATAAAATATTAATTATTACTTAGAAATAATTTCGTTTTTATCGTTAAAATAACGTTTAGATAAAGCGAAAATAAACGTTTATAAAAAGAAATAAATGTATGATACAAGCTATCCTCGTTCCTTTCGACCACCTTCACGATCGACAGCTCGCCCCAGTGTCTTTAAATGGTAACTTATTATTTCCCTTTCCACCAGCGCTGTACATTAGTTGAATGGGTTTGCCTATAAATGTTTTTAAAATGTTTGGAACAGCTTCTTTTACACTTACAGATCGCCGTGCACCAACTGTCATTATTGCTTTCTGAAAAGAGATAATATAGTTGAAGTTGACATTTTTTCAGTATACATGGTTGTTACAAAAAACCTGTCAAAATAAGAGAATTTTTATGAATTCCTGGAATTTTATTTATTTTACTCTAGAAAACCTGATAAATTAAGAAATTTCTTGAATAACAATTAATAATATAGATAAAGGTTTGCCTTATAAGAAACAAAAAATTAAATTTAAATATTGTTTGTTCGTTATGGAATAAGTATTTAATTATACCACAAGTTTTCAAGTTTGTGGTTGAGACAATTTACAAAAAACATTAAAACTAATGAAATTCTAGGTTAAATTTAAAAATTTCATGACATTTTCAGGTTTTCCAGGCCTTTTTCAAAAATCCATTACTTTTCCAGGTTCTTTAGCAACCCTGAGTATAAGATATAATTTATTGTTTTAATATTGTAAGCCCAACTTTAAAATAAAAGAGATTTACCAGTCGAAAACTTTGAAAATTTCTACATCCTCCATGGGTAAAACAATTTGTAATACCTTAATTTTTTCTTTTACATCTAATAATACCGGAGTATTGGTATGTTTCCCGACAGAATTTTCAATTTCAGTCATTTTTTTATTAACTTTTTTAATAAGTTTTCGTTGGAAAGAGTGTGCATAGAATATTAAAGAATCTCCTATGCTTTTAACTAGTTCTTCAATATCCATGTTAATATCGGGATCTTTAGGCTTATTTCGAGAAATTTGATGATTTTCGGTTAACTTGTTCGCATTTTGTGATTCAATTTCGGTAATTTCAATTTCTTCTTCCGCGATAGATGCTGCTACCTGATCATTCTCCTCATTATTTATCACTGAACTTGCTGGTTGTGAATCATCTACACTCATATCCATCTCAGCTTGTTCACGGTTTTCTAAAATTTTTATTTTATAATATTTAAATAAAATAATTATCTTTGTTGAAAAGTGTCAAAATAAAAAATATTTTTCTTATCCTACCAACAATAATTTTTTGTTAAACTTAATAATTCTAAAAATCACTCTGATAAGTAAAATTACCTGAACTTAGTGAAAGAGGCGAACCATTGGAATTCTGAGATTTTTCTTCTTCATTCTGCGACATTTTAAATGATGAGGTTTAATTTGAAATTCGAAATTTATAGATCTAATAAACGATTCTCTCTATCTTGCAGTCCACGATATTCTTCTACACTGCAGTAAAAAATATTATTTAGTTTTCAATTAGTAAAATTTTGTAAAAATATAGAAAAATTAAATTAAAAAAAATATATTTTGATTTCAAATTGCCATTAAGTATTAAAGGAATATAAATTAAACCTGCTAAAAAGCAAATTTTAAAAATTGAACAATAATAATCGATTTTTTTGGTAAAATACAATAGGGAAAAATATTTAACTTTGTAATTTTTCATTTTGATATTTAAAAAGTGTATTCTCTATTTGTAACCAGGTGTAACACAGTGCCAATTTTTTAATGATTTGCGTAAAAAAAATTAAATTAAGAATTTTTAATTGAACCTTTAATAATAATAATTTTTAACTGATGCAAAATAATATCTGCCCACAAATTAATTTATACATATATCCATACATAATCACTATCTTTGTAATAAACGTTATTTTTTTCTTAGGAATTATTTGATAAAAATCGAAAAAATGTATTAAATCTGAATTTATGTAACGCAGAAATATATTTCTAACCTCAAAATAAATATTTGTTTCGAAAAACATGTAGCAAGCAAACACTTAATTAAAGCATACTAAACAAAAATACATTTGAAATATTTAAAAAAATGATTAAAGAATAATAAAAATAATGAAAAAATAATTAATTTATTCAATTATTAAAAAGGAAACTTACTTTCTTCGACGCAGCTTTCAGAAGATTCTAGAAAATAGTCATGTACGAAACCACTACAAAGATAAAGAATAAACAATGTGAAGGAGAGAGAGTTTGAGTTTAGATGATTAGCCAATAATTTGAGTCGATAAGAGCGGTAAATTTAAAAGTGCCTTGAATGACTTATGCTAGCCAATCATATACAAGATTTCCTTTAGAACGAAGAACTAGCATTTCCAGGAGAAAGAGGCAGTTACTCTTTTGACACGCCATTTAATAAAAGTGTTTTGAAGAAAGATTCTTGTCTCGGAGAAAATCTAAATTACATTGTGATTCGTAAGATTTTACAATTAACTTCTATTAATATAACTAAAGTACAATTTATATGTATGTAAATAAAGCTTATCGTAATACCATAACCTCCATTGCTTTCAATAAAAACTTGGTTTTTCAACTTCTCTGAACATCAGGACTTAAGGTATGAAATATTTAATTTAATTTTTCTGAATTTTAAATTCTTGAGAGTAATTTTGAGATAAATGTTTTCTAAATATAGATTTAATCTACGTTTGAAAATGAATATTTGATTATTTATAAAAATTATATTGTTAGATTATATGTTCAATACCAAAACATAACCTCAAACTAAGAACGCTTTTAAAACAGAAATTTTTTATAATAAAAATTATTTTGTTATTACAAAGTTATTGAACATTTTTCTTAAATCTTGGTAAATTAACAGTTATATATTTGAAAATTTGGTTTATTGAAAGATCCTTTATTTTGATAAAAATCATTAGTTTAAGAAATATATTAAAAAGTAAAAATGAGAATTTTTTAAAATTCTTAACAGTTTTTAAACAAATATTTACAATAACAATAATTTAAATAACTAATTATTTTTTAAACATATATTCGTGATAGCTCTTTCAAAGTATATTAAAAAAATAATTCATATTATTCGTAATTTTTTGAAAAATGAATTTTTATTTTGAGGTTGACTGGTATTCAACCTCTTTAAATTTATTTTAATTTATTTGAACAATTTATATTAAATAATGTTTCAGAATATGGCAGACACCGATAAGCAGTTTACTTATGCTATAGTAAAATTTGTTAATGAAGAGAAAGAACATCCGATTGTTGAATTGATACCGATAAACTGGATTGAAGAAAATGAAAAACTTTGTTCGTATCCAAAAAAAATCAGTATAGATATTTGCAAAAATGGGTTAAGGAGAGCAAAGCCGTCCAAAAAACCTGGTTGCATTCACAAGAAATTGAGATAATTAAAAAGAGCAGTATGTATGAGAAAAAATTTTATTTTATACATTTACTCTTTTTAAAAAACATATTTTATTATTTTATAGCATCATTTGAAAAAGGGTTTAAAAGATTAGAAAAATATTTGAAAACACTTGATTACGGGAACACAACAGCCACAGAAGGTGGAATTACCGATTATGACGAGGATGTTCACCTCCAGCGATACACATCAAACCTTTTGAAATTTTCTAAGGAAACAGCGGAATAAGGTAAATTTGATGATTTATTTATTTAGAAAATTATTGAGGAACCTAAATGTTATTTAAAGAATAATTTTCATACCTATTATATTCAAGGTTGCCAACAAAGACTTTCTTGAGCTACATGTTGCAGATTGTGCATGTTCATAACTTGTGACGTTTTACCATAAAATCCATAACTAAATCTCGACTGTAAAGTATTCTACACGCACAATGCAGATTGAGGAAGTGGCGATATTGATCTGGAGGTAAAACGTCTCGAAAAACAAGTGGTCCAGCGTAGAGCAAAATGAATCGGAACTGAGTTGCCTTCCAGTTAGCCAGCTCATCTAAAGGAAAAGTGTTTCTTTGAAACTCTTTTGGTACCGAAGACGTTATCTCCTTCAGCAGAACAGACAGAAGATTTAGCTTTTCCGATTTCAATTTGAATTTGCCTCTTGATGTCAATATTACTAAAATCAATTTTATTGCTCCATCACAAAGAAGATGCATATTATCGAGCAACACTTTCTTCACAGGGTCAAATTTATTTATTCGTAAAAGAGGTGATTTTTCACCCGGAAGATGCCGGTGTGTCGCAGACCATAGCTTTTAATTCAAATCGATACTTCTTATTGTCGATTTCAATTCCGTTGGTAGTTATGTCATTGGTCTCATCGACAAAATCATTTAAAAATTCGTTGACACTGTCCGGTTTAGTTTTTCCTCCATATATAGCTACAAGAAATGGTGTACAGAAATAATCTTGGTGAATTATTTGCATCAGAATGGGCATTAATTCCATATTCGATTTCCTGAACAGAGGCAGACCATCAATATTAGCAATGACATTTATTTTGTCTTCAGTGTAATTAGATTTTTTTATCCTCGGCTCTAAACCTTGCTTTATTCCTAGATATACATATTCGCCAAATGCCCCTACTTTTTTAGATAACATTTCTCTTACAGTACCATTTGTTCTTTTAGTTTGCAGAATCACTTTCGTACTCTGAGGATGAAATCGAGTTTCTGGAATCTGCTCTTCAATCTTGAAAATCTTGCATCGGTAAATCAGAGTCGAAATTTTCTGATACATTCTGATCAAAGCACCTGCAATTAAAAAAATAAAATATTTTTAATTTATCAATATTTTGTAAATGTAATATATAAATCACTGCAAGGAGAAAACAATTCTTAGCATTTTTTAAATTCACAAGTTCTCGTTCAATCTTTTGTAAAATTTTTAAATTAATCATATAATAATTTATATTATCTTTTGGTGTTAGTACGTTCAAATTTCGCTTTTTGCTCATTTCTGCATAAATAGATTTAATATATGGTACATTATATAAATTATTATTTATTTATATTATAACATTAAAATACTTAACCCGGAAATGTGTCACGGATAAAGTAAAAGCCTTAAATTATGGTACGTATATTACTGCATGGTTGACACAAAAATTGGATTTTCTTTTTCCCTAATTCCAGACAGAATTTAAATATTTTCCCTGACCCCGATGAAAAAATGTCAAGACCCTTTCAATTATAAAAAAAGTGAAGACTATAATGTTTAAAAACAAAAATTTAAATTAAAAATTTCAAAAGTCACGATTTTCATAGCATTTTTAGAAATTTAATACTTTTCCAGCACTTTTTATAAAATTCCATGATTTCCCTGACTTTTCCCTGATTTCTCTAACCTGTGTCAATCGTGCACTAATAGTATATTATGTAATTACTGTGTAAATTTGTAAGACTTTCAAAATATTTACAATAACTGTAAAAGGGTCGTTTGATCTATTCAACATAAGCTCTAATTTACTCATCTACTAAATTAATTCCTTTTACGTGGTATTAATTTATTTTAAGAGTGAAATAAATTAAGATTGTACATACCTTGTTTCCAAATCTTCAGCAGAGAAAGATTGACGAACTGGATTGATATCAATAGAATTAATATCATCAGAAGTTATGACTTCCTTATCAGCTTCATCACTACTGTCATCACTGACCTCCTCATTTAACTTTTTGCGCTTTAAATATCTCCACTTTCTTACCCTTACGGATTGCTGAGGTTGAAAGGGGTACGAATTCGTACCTCCTTCGTACCCCGTTCGTTCTTTTTTTGGTAAGAACAGTTTATTGCTGATAAAACAATGTAGAATGATTATTAATACAAAAAAACAATAAAAAGTGACAAAATAATACTAAGAGAATATATTAGTACAATAAATGAGATAGATTAATTCTATATTAATAAAACAATGAATAGTTTACGTATAACCTGTAATCACTTGAAAAGAGCCTGGTTTTTCGTTAATTTCAGGACAAAATTAACATCAAAAATTGAAAAACTTGTTTGTTTTTGAAAAAGTAATTAATAAAATATTTGATTTTTATTCCGTTTAACTGAAACAGAGTACAAATAAATAATAATTAAAGTAAAAACTTTGTAAATATGTCAAATGTGTTGTGAAATATGGTGTTATGTTACCGATGGTCTCAGTAAATAGTTTCACTCAGTGCAATAACGCTAGATGGCGCGGTAAGCGACACTTTTAAAGCATTTTAAGATTTTTTAATATCACCGAAGAATTGTAAGTCATTCGCCAATGAAAAGGAGGAGGTAGAAAATAGAAAAGTTAATTCCTGCATTTTTTTATCATCATTATTAATAATTTAATTAATTATTGTTTATTATATATTACATTAGTAATGCAAAAAAATTAATATAATAATAAGCAGTTCTATATACGAGATTGTTATTTTTTAATTTATTCATTCATTCAAAAAATAAAATTTACTTTTAATTTTTAAACTTGTTACCGGCTTGAAGACATCATAAAGACATACAAAGGACTTAGACATTTTTTGTCTGTAGAATATTTTTTGAGTTAAAAAACATTAATTCATTATTATCTTACTTAAATTTTGACTTTGTTTTGATTTTTGTTTTATTTGTACATGCCTATACAGAAATCAGGAATACAAAAAATTCACCCGGGCCTGGGATTGAACCCGCAATACGTCAGGTTCAAACTTTACGCCTTAAACATTTGAGCCATTGAAGACAGATAAAATCGTTTACAAAGTTTACGAACTTATGGGAAAATAAAATGAATTGAACTTAAAAAATTTCTACAACATTTATCTAAAATAGTTTCGATGTTTACGTTGAATTTAAAAAATAAAATATAAAAGTTATTTTTATGAAAAATTTTCAATCTACTGTGTAACAAAACGCTCGGACGTGCACCAAAAATTTCAATTTTTTTTATGAAAAATAATGTGTTTTCCAAATGCTTTTTATAAATTTGTGTTATAGTAAACAATATTCGTGATTTCTTTCAGACCGATTGAAGGCCGATAATTCTACGAAACAACGTTTCACGCAAATTGAAATTGAATTTGTGGGTAATTAATTTCCATCTATAAAAATTCTACAACATTAGTAATCGCTAAAAGAAAAATTCTGTAAAATAAAAATCCGTACAAAGAAATATTGTGTTAAATTAAAATTCTATATAATTTTCTGCTAAAAAATTAATACACGGAAAGAAATTTAGTAGCAATATTTTCTAAATCTGATTGGAAATTTTAGTATTCTCTTTTTCAAACGCGGAACATCTGGGTTTGATAACGAAAATCGGTATATTTTTACCAATAGTCTTTTTAGTAAATATATTCCAGAAATTGAAATTATTATTTCGTAAATTGATAAATTTATACGAAAAACCAGAAGTAAGTTAAACCGACGCGCACTTCGTTATTTACTAAATTTATATGAAAATTTGGAAAGATTATTTCGAAATTTGTTAAAACTATACTAAAAATTTGAAGTGGTTCAGTCGTGACAGAAGACGACAGAAACACCAATAGATTCTACGCCAAAGTTTTATCTCTTTCTCATCTCGAGGATAGACGAGGATATGAACTTTCAAATGCACACACACACATACACCGCATTGTTTTACATCGATTGGCTTATTTTTATTCCTAACATATACTAACGCAACATATACTAACTAACTAACATTCGCAGAATAACGCTTCATATACAAATTTACGCTCATGTGAAAAACTGATGTGACCATTCTTATATACTAACCAGACATATTTTTCACCGCTTATGAGAAAGGTGAAATTATATCAAAACATGTTTAAAAATATAAATAAATATCATTAGTTATTGGGAAATAATTAAATATTTTATTATTTTTGAAGAACAATTTTTTTTTACTGATTTATTGTAAAATCTTCGAAATTAATTATATAAAAGGAATTCAGGTCTGCATCAAGATAATGGTAAAAAGGGGCTGGTCTAAAGAGCTTCGTCAGTCTTCGTTACCACTCGGTGAGGATCGGGCAATTCCGAACGTTCAACTTCGGCAAATTTCGTCGAATCTCGTTAACTTTGATATTTCTTTTTCAATTTTCATATCAAATATATCAAAATGTGAAATAATTATATCATTTTATACAATTCTAATTACGAAATTTGAAATATTTGGTTAGAAAAATTTATAAAGAGCTTATTAAAATTTGACATTTTTGTGTTTCAATAAAAAGATTTCAGATTTCGTAAATATTATATCAAATTTTCTTTCCAACTATATTAAATATTCTTATTTTAATCTCAATTATTATAAATTATATAAGAAATTATGTAGGAAATTCCAATATAGATGTAGATCATCATAGTTCCACTCTTACGCAGCCAGATGGTGATAATTTTTTTTCACAGTTAAGATCAGTCTTGAATACTATAAAAGCTGAGACTCTAACTCAGAAGGTGTATTGCAAAGCACAATTTTTTTTCTTCTCAGATGAATTGCAGTAATATTATTTGATTTTTAATTAAATAATTTTTATAAAATGCCGTCTGCCAACTGAAAAGTCCTATATGAAATACTATATTGTTTCCTTTATATAATTCTACGTAAAATCTTAGATATCGATATTTCAGAATCTACATGAAATCCTATATGATTTCTTATGTTCAAATCAATCATATATATGATCCCACGTCAAGATTTTTAATATAATTTCATGTCAGATTGTTTGTAATAATTTTTTATTCAAGAATCGAAAAAAGATTTAATGTATGATTTGATATAGGAAAAATTCTGGTTAAGGATTGAGCAATTAATTTTGGTGAGTTTTTTAATGAGAAATCACGAAGGAAATTGACATAAGAAATTAAAGGAAAAAATGTGACAACAAAAAATTTTAGGATTTCACATAGGAATTTACATAATTTATTACCTAAGAATACGTTTATAAGAATTTGCATCCAATCTCACTTCAAATCATGTCTCAATTTCAAATATAATTTTTCATAAGATCCTATATAATTTCTTACATGTCACATAGGATTTTATGTGAGATCCTATATAAGATCCTACATGAGAATTTTCTGGAAATGGAACCATATGGATAAAATCACAAAAACCATGGGCGAAATCGATAGCCAAGGTAAGAACGATTAGACCCATGGTTTAAACCTTGGCAAAAATCTCAAAAACCATTGCTCATGTCCGTTTCTCATGGTACAATTTTCCATGGGAATTTTTTTTTATTTTTACGGATTTCTAACCATTGCTTAAATTTTGATAACCTTGGAAAATATTTTTTTTAATTTTACTGAATTTGGACCTTTCCTAAAAACTTGTCAACCATGGGAAAATTAATTTCTTAATTTTACGGTTTTTGGACCATGGATAAAAACTTGCGAACCATAGGAAATTTTTTTTTTATTTTACGGATTTTGCACAATGGCTAAAAACTTGCGAAACGTGGGAAAATTTTTTTAATTTTACGGTTTTTGGACCTTTGCTAAAATATTGCGAACGATACGAAATTTTTTTTTCTTTTTTACGGATTTTGGACCATTGCGAAAATCTTGCGAACCATGGGTAAATTAATTTTTCCATGGTTTCTAAGATTTTAGCAATGGTCTAAAATTAATAAAATCAAAAAATTTATTTCCGATGTTTTGCAAGTTTTTAACCATGGTCCAAAAACCGTAAATTTAAAAAAATAAATTTTCCCATGTTTCGCAAGTTTTTATCCATGATCCAAAATCCGTAAAATAAAAAAAAAATTTCCCATGGTTCGCAAGTTTTTAGGCATGGTTCAAAAACCGTAAAATTAAGAAATTAATTTTACCATGGTTGACAAGTTTTTAGCAAAGGTCCAAATTCAGTAAAATTAAAAAAAATATTTTCCAAGGTTATAAAAATTTAAGCAATGGTTAGAAATCCGTAAAAATAAAAAAAAATTCCCATGGAAAATTGTACCATGAAAAACGGACATGAGCAATGGTTTTTGAGATTTTTGCCAAGGTTTAAACCATGCGTCTAATCGTTCTTACCTTGGCTATCGATTTCACCCATGGATTTTGTGATTTTATCCATATGGTTCCATTTCCACGCGGGGTTCCTACATAAAATAATATAAATTATCAAATATTAGTAGAAGGAGGGTGTATATAAGAAAATTCATTGTTCTCACCCATTCCTTCTGTTAATATTTGCAAGCAATCATGTTTACTACGAGTCGTTTTGGAAGCATTTTAGTTTGAAATAAAGGATTCTTTGTTCAATTCCTTTCTCACGATGAGTCTTATGCAGTTGCATAGGCTAATGTCTACCGATGTGTTTACATCATATCAAGTCGCATGTACATTTAATAATACTCTTAGTAGTAAGAGACATAAATGTTTAGTCTTCTTACAGCTATACTATGCCACTTGATATGATTTTCACACCATCACTATTAGAAAATTGTAGCATCCGCAACTGAAGTCAATATATGACTTATATATTGCATCGCGAGGCGCAAGCACATAAGCTTATGCTACGTGACCACAGGGTAGCTTTCGCCTCGCGTTGCAATACAATACCCCTATAGAAAAGACTGTAGATGCATATGGCGACCAGCGACCTATATCTATTAGATCCAAGAAATTGTCTGCGTGATTCTAAAATTATAATTCGATCAGGACGTGATCTCTGCTTATTTTCTCCCACTGAAGGATGATTTTGCTAGTATAAAAACCCCTGCAATTAGCATGGAGCGTTGTCAGTTCTCCGGTTCTAAGATCGCACTTCACGTCAAATAATACGTCCACCATTTGCTCTTTTCGATAATTGTAAAATCTTTCAAGTCTAACAGTACAAGTAAACTCGTGTTCAAAAGAATAAGTTCTCTTATAAATTGAATTGTGAGACATTATTAAAATTCGCATCTAACCGTCGAATTAGTGTAACTTTTGAAAATAAGTTAGATTTCGGAAGTTATGAACTAA